ACTGTACAGCGCTACTGGAGTGTATTGTGTTGTAAATAGGCGGAGTGCGCATGCTCAATAGGACTCCCCTTTCGCTTAATACTTGTTCCACACGGACTTCTCTTGGCGTGCGGACAGTAGCATCTGTTTTCGACAATAAAGGTTTCTACGGCTATGTTCGTATTACGGTCCTCAGGATTGTTTCACTGTGTATTCTTGTTAGCAAATTCCAACGTTACGGAAAAAGATGCGTGTTTTTGTGTTCCCTAGCCCTAACCTTCTACATTCCTCTGAATAACTCGTCGATATCCTAATTCTACCCAGTTTCATCCTCAAGATGGAGGAAGAATGTATCTTTCGAAACGTTGGTATTTACATATAAGACAAAACGAAGTAAAATTCCAAAACCTGAGTCTCGAGATAGATGTTTATTTTCCTGATGAAAACGCCCCCTCTCTCTCTCTCCCTCCCTCTCTCCCTCCCCATTTCTCATATATATCTTTTTTCATACTCAGGCACTTGGTTTATGATTGCGCTAATTTTTTTTAACCATTTTCCATTCGACAACCCTCTTGATTACTTTCATATTCTAAAGTAGAAGGACCTGCCGTTTTCATCGGAACCCTATTTTCGTATTAACGTCTTACTCTGTGTATTAACAGGAATAAAACATAGCTGCCTATATATGCGTATAGTTCGTGTTTTAGCTTCTTATATCTCACTTATAATATACCAGTTAAGATTTTTAACAACAAATTGGTAGATCTTGCACTGTGATTACAATCTTCCATTGAATTCAACGTTATTGTATTCCCTGAAGTAAATATGTAATACGGCATATCACAAAAAAGCTGTAGGAATCTTGATACATATATTGGTACATAAGTAACCAAATACAGCTATCGGTAGGGAAATACAAACATACATTTAAGTATGCCTTATTGAATGGTAAATTGAAAATTGTCGTTGTAAATGTGCATAAAATTTACATTTTTAACAATGAAGAGCCACATTTGTCAGCCTATCTATACATTTTATTCATATGTGTTATTGTCGTGGTGATAGATTGGTGGCCTACAGCGTCTCTGTCCTGATGGCCAGGTGGATTATTTTGTGGTCGTGGCTGATGTGTTGGGAGTTTAAAGGGGCTGTTTGGAAAGTATTCAACCGATTTGTCGTAAGAATACTTGGGAGGTCTGTACTGGTAGTAATGTAGTGTTTTAGGAATTTCAGTTTCTTTGTCTTCTGTCGGCGTCATGTAGCTGTCTGTTACTTTGCTCTGCTTACTATACACCATTCTTAAACGTTTCTCATTTTCTGAAGCTGGATTTTTGTAATAATCGGATACTTGTTTATCGTTTGAAGATTCTGCAGCGAAATCAGGTACTTTAAAGTTTTCGTTCGTTGGAAAAGCTTTGAACTGATCCACAAAATGTATTGGACCAAAGTCATTATGATCGTCTGAAAAACTGTTAATGTCACTAGTAGCTGCTTTTGAAGGTGAAGATTTATAGAAATTGCAGCTTTTCGAAGGGACATCAGATGATTCTTCAGGTTCATCATCATCATTATTACCATCATCATCTGGTGGATGAGTAAATTGAGGACGTTTCGTGTTTTCTGCAAAGTCGAACGAATTTTTGTGGTCACTATCATCATTGTCCTCGTCCTCATAATTCGATTTATGTGATGACTCATAAGACCTTGAACTCTCCTCAGAATCATTAGAGTCTTCTAGTTCTTGTGGACTGTTCTTTGTGTATGATTCCTTGTCCTCAATATCTGGCAGAGGTTCTGAATATTTAGACGAATACTGGTACCTTCCCTTTACAGATGGCTCAGGGACTGATGTTTCATGTTCTTTGACAGGCGCGGGCATACTTACAATCTGTTTATTTCCTTTAGTATCACCAAGAGAATTCTGTTTAGATTTCGATAAACCTAACTGGGCATAGTCCTGGTTATATGATGTAAGAGGAAATGCAGGGTATTTTGTGTATAAATCTTGTTGACTTTGATCGTAACCATTATTGCCAAATGTAGCAGGTGCTAAAGAGTTGAAGAAACCGACATTAGTCGTTGGTTGGTATGTCGGAGTCACAGAAAACCCTCCTACACCATTCGTTGACGGCTTCTGAAGAGCTGAGAGAGTTAATGAAGGCCATGATGACGGTAAACTGATAGCTGATGGAAAATATGAGTTTTGTAATGGAGGGTAAAATCCTGATACTGGAATTGATTCAGCTGCAGAAATGTTATGTTCTTGTGTATAATTGTAGGGCATAGTATAAAGTGGTTGATAAATGCCACCCAAGTTTAGAGGTTGGAATGATGGGATTAAATTATTGTAATTGATGTAATTCCCTTGATTTTGTCGCTGGCTAGGGTTGTTCAGGTACGTGTAAGGCGCGGGAAACGCTGAAACTAATACAGATTGTGTCGCAGCTGGTTGTTGGTTGTTTTTCATTGGGAGATACTGTAGGGCGTATCCTCTAGAGTCAGGCACTGCAGCTGTGTACGTTTGTGACGTTACGGAACTTTGTCCCTCCGGAGCAGCCATTTTGGTGACGAACCTTGACCAGAATGGCGTGTTCGACACTGCGAACACTGTGGATGAAGATAGAATGAAGAACAGCTGTGGGAAAAAAATCGAATATCAAAAACTAATAGCGTGTAAAGTGGTGTGTACACATCTATGTGTGAACATCGACATGTTTGTTCTGTTAAGGGCTGACACTTGTCTGTGTATATTTTCAAAGGTGACTGAGGACAGTAAGGGGCATATATTCGTCTATGGTAGAGTAATTAAATAATAATTATTAATTCAATGAGCTAATAAAAATAACTGAATTGAATTGAATTTACTTTTGGCGCCTTGTTGGGAACGATTTCATCGTCATTTGAATAAGTTTGTACATTTGTGGTGCTCTGAGATGGGAATTATACGAGTGGTGGACAATGACAAAATCTATGTTAAACATAAACTTGAGAATTAAAATTAACATTGGCAGCTTAAATATGTTGTTTCCTTTAGTTGTTTGAAGTACAGACATAACAAATCTCAAGGTTTAGTTATCTCCCT